AATATTTAAGTAATTGAACAACCCATGATTCCAAATAATCTAATAAAATGAATGAACAAACCCAAGATTCCGATAATGAATAAAACAAATAAAACAAATAATTTGAATAAAGCGAATTAAATTTTTAATTCGAATAAACTTTTTAATTCGAATAAACTTTTTAATTCGAATAAAACTTTTTAATTCGAATGAATTTTTTAATTCGAATGAATTTTTTAATTTGAATGAATTTTTTAATTCGAATGAATTTTTTAATTTGAATGAATTTTTATTCGAATAATTAATTCGAATTAAAGGTCAACTATTACTATTACTATTACTATTACTATTACTATATTACGAATAATTCGAATAAGAATTTGTATTACTATTACGAATAGAAACCCTACGCCTTGCATGAATTTTCCAAATGTATCTACATTATATTTAAGCAATTGTCTTTTGGCCGAATTTAACTAATTCCGAAATTCTTAAATTTTTATTATTATTATATTTAGTTATTTCTAATTTTATAACCTTATTTTATTAATTTAGTATTATTTTATCCGTGTTACAACTATTTTCGTAATATGCTTAATATCAATATTTTTTTTAGTATATGGATATTTCTTAGTATTAACAAAAGGTTTCATAAAATCATTATTATGTCTTTGATTATCAATAGATATTGCATCACGCCTCAATCCTTCTGGGTTATAATTTTTACCCACAGTATGTCGACGAATTAGGCTATGAAAATTTTCTACAAAATATTCATTAAATTCTTGTAAATTTTCAGATAAAATATTGTACATAGGATGTTCAATGCTTTGCCAATAAAGAACATCAGAGATAAAAGCTATCATTATTTTATCATAATTTTTTCTCTCAAATCGTTTCATAATAGTCCAAAGTCAAAAGATTGTTTCCAAATATTCTTCAAAATGACCTTCACAAAATAAAATTGTATAAATGTCCAATGTTGCTGGCACAATATTATCTAATAAATCTAAAAATGTGTGATATTCAAGATTTTTTCAGATGTCAATTTATTAATAACTGTATCTCTAATAATCATCCATCCTGATTGTGAGATATTGTGAGATAGTAAATCTTGGACCTATCAATTACCTGGTTAATATTGACCAATTAGAACGAATTTACTACGGAGGTCATGTGATGTGCTAAATATTACATCACGACCAACAACCATCTTTCTATATTATTGTAATGGCTACATCGCACATTGCGCAGTGTCATATGAAAGATTATTCCTATTCATGTTTCTATATTTATATTTATTAACCTACTCATCTGATGTAAATATTTATTTAGAATTAGTAATTAGTTGATAAGCATA